CACACACACACACACACACACACACACACACACACACACACACACACTCAGAAATACAGGTTGCAAAATATCTCTTGCAGCAGCAATGAGAGCAGATTTCTTAAGCTCGAGCTGAAGTTATAAAGCTATCCAGGCACAGCAGCCAACACACTGCGGCCTCAGTGGAGTTTATCAATAGTGTACATTGTATCTGTGTATGTTTTCCAGTATAGTGTGTGTGTGTATGTGTGTGTTGGTGGAAGGGGAGCTTGCATAGCTGAAAGGTCTCTCTGACCCGCTTGGCACCGACAGCTGATGGGAGTTGCATTCACAGGGTGTGCGTGTGTGTGTGTGTATATATATGTACTGTATTACCCCCCCCCCCCCTTTGATTTGTTGAACAAAATCACTTTTTCTTTGACACCACCCTCTGACCAAGCATACCTCTTTTCCCACTACTAGTAAAGATCAAACACTTTTACTGGCGAGTCAACATCACAACTTTAAGATGGGGGCTAACAAGCCGATAAATTATATATTTTTGTCGTTTGAAATTCAATCGCAGTACGTCCACACATGGCCTCAAAATAACAGGAATCTTCATGACCACATTACTTCACAGCTCATATATTAATATTGAGACCAATATTCAACGTCTGACTGTGAGAAGACGGAAGCAGGGAAAGCAAGACGTATCCTGGTGTGATCAGAGGAGTTAATCTCCCTCCTTTCTGTCGCTATTACTCATCCTGTACCACCGACACGCTATGAAAATCATCTGAAAATAAACTGTAAGGACCAAGTGGCTTCTGTACGCCGCCATCACCGCAGACACAACGTCTGCCAATTAGCTGATTAGCTGATAAGAACGAACAAGGTCGTTTCTCTCAGCGATCCCACACAGACGCATGCACTCAAGAGAAAACAGGTTTTAAAGCAACATTAGTTACAGACCTGGCGACAGCAGCCCTCTTTAGGAATATTGTGAAACTATCGAAAAAGGTCAACAAGAAAAATGAAGTCTAAATAGCCAGATTCATTTTATAAAGAAAAAAGGAGATATGTCACTTTTTTGCCATTTTTAAGACATTTTTGGCCTTAAAAATGTTTATCATTCACGTTAGTTTAAGATGCTCTGACTTTGAGGTATCAGCCTGAATTTGTCGATCAGATGTAAGAAATCAATATCGTCTCATGCTCCTTTGTTGAGCTGCAATAGATTCCAGCTTTTGCTGCTTTTCTTCACATCTGTCATATATGACAGAACATTGTATATATTTGGGTTTTGTGCTGTTGGTCGGACGAAACCAGTGTTTTAAAAACACAATAAATAAATGAGTTGGTGTTTTTATTTTGGGTTTCTGGAGTTGAGGTACAATCATTATTCTATCACTGACTATTACACATGCTGGTGAAACACGTTTTGCATGCTGGGAACACTTCAATGAAGGTCATCAGACACGTTTCTTTGCCCAGCTATCCTATCTGGAAATGTTAAGAGCGATAATAGCACATACACAAGATTAATAAACACACACCACTCACAGAGAACACACACCACTCACAGAGAACACACACCACTCACAGAGAACACACACCTATAATTACACAACAGTAAAACCTGTTTTCAACACAGAGGGTTTAAATGTCAGGGACCAATGAGGACAAACACATCGTCTGTGGTATGAGGACATCACTAAAAATAAAGAGAGAGCAGCCTGTTAGACGATCAAACTAAAGGGACATATGAGAAGCCGCTTGTTTCCCCTCGGCTAAATGTGGGGAGTTTGTTCGGGAACGAAAAGGAACATTAAGTGAGAAAAACAACAAGAGCGGAGAAAGCTGCGTTTTAATTTCTCTCAAAAGGAACAAGTAAATTAACTCTATGACTGGTACTGTTGATGTTATCCTCTCACTTGGAAGGTTTCAGTTTCTATTGAACATCCTCATTCAAAACAGTATCAACTTTGTGTTTGAGACAAAGAGGCTCTGTTGTTTACCCAACTATGAAGCAAGGAATCAATCCGTCTGTCCGACCGGCAACACTGGTACGACCGGCTCGGGAGTCGCAACATAAGGACGGACACCACATCAAGTTAGATTCAACAACCACCGCTGTCAGTTTATTTACAGGACACTAATAAACTGTCATGCGCAAATCCAACTGCAGACCAGGGTCTGGTGCCAGGCAGATGAGAGAGAGCGAGCGCGGAGCAAGGAGGCGCTTATATAGGTAACCCACATCTTCATCCAGGTGCCCTCAATCACTCGTTAGGGAGCTGCACCTAGAAGTCAAAAGACACAGAATACATGCACACATACACACACACCCAAGCACAAACATTCACAGCAGGACATAGAACCATACGCAACAACACTTTCAATATTAATAAACTTTAAATGAACACGCTAGCGTGACGGGGGCGGGGCTTCGCGCACTGAGTCGAGCATAGAGGCAGACCGCTACGCTTCATGCTGTGAAAATCAGGCCCACCGTAGGGAAAAACAATCGACACCACAATATGTAACCAAGAGTGGAAACGCTGACAGAATGGCTGTAGCTAGCTAAGCAAAAGTTAGACTGCAGCATGTCAGATGATTATTTTAGCACCCTACGTCTACCAGGGGGGCGGCTGATAGTTGAAATGACGATCGTATGTTAGCGAGCGCATGTTACAATACTATCGGCAGCGATAATCAGTTAATCATTAAAAGTCTAAATTCACTGGTTTTAGCTTATGGTTCAAGCATTTTGAAGACGTCACCTTGTGCTCGGAGAAACATTTCACACTCATATCTGCCATCTTATAGAGACATTTCTTTTATAGTTATTATAATTGTTGCAGCTGTAACTTTCAGAGATTTCCCTGCAGATAGAAGTCAGAGAAAGGACATGTTTTCTGGCATCACTGCTACTTTTTGCCTCATCCTCTCCCTGGACAACGCTGCTTTATAAAGCCCCGTGTGGTCCAACTGTATTCCTCTCTGTTGCTTCCCCATTCGCATCAGGACACATCACAGACCGGAGGCAAGTGACACAATGAGGGAGAGGAGAGCAAAAAGAGGATGACAGGGCTTGAGAGGAACAAATGAAAAGAAGTAATGCTGCAGACAGAGAAGAGTGGCCTTTCAGGACGAACAGGAACAAGTGCAGTGCTGCGTATATGTAGTCTTATGTTACAGACGAGAGAGAGAGAAGAATGTGAGAGAGAGAGAGATAGACAAAGAAGCTCCATTCATTCGATCTGTTGGTATTCAATCCTCTTATTGTGGTCGGAGAGGCGACACTCTCACAAAGAAAACACACACACACACACACACACACACACACACTAACCAGTAGAAGGCCACGTTGTCGCCAAGCTTCCTCTCGTGGACGTTGCGGTCGAGGACGTTGTAGCAGATGTTAGTGGAAGCTCCTTCCATAAACTTAATGAATATTTCACCTTTGGTCACATCGAAGTTGTAGTCGAGGAACTGACCCGTGTGTTTGGTCTTCCAAAAAAAATCTTTGGCAATGTCGCCCCAGAACTCTGCAGGACACGAAGAAAACGGATTAAAGAGACCGACAAGAAATAATGAATATGTTCCTAAATCCCACTTGGAAGATGCTCATCTCAGATATGTTTGTGAAGTCTGACAGGGACAATACTCGTGCATGAAATCATGTTCATGCATCAGTACTGTATGTTTTATATTGAACAGGAGTGGAAATTCTGCAAATCACAGTTACAAGATGCATCAGGTAAAACGGGCACCATGCAGTAACCACGCAGTCACAGCGAGACAGTTAAACTACACTATTAAACTGTCACAATACCAGTTTACCACTTAATGATGGTGATTATAAAAGGTCACATTGTCCTCTTGCTGTAACTTCCCGTTAAAGTTCCTTTTGTGAGACTTTTATTGAGGCCAGCGTTTCCTGTGCTTCATTAACCTACATTACTGCAAATCACAATCACCCAACACCATGACTCCCTTATGATACAACTCTGGTGTGTGTAATAAATCAATAAACTCCCGAGTCCAGCGTCAGACGGATCCGCCCTAAAGCCAGATTCCACACGCAGAAGAAAAGCTGTTTGGTTGCATCTGAGGTTCTTCACACAGCCTACAAACGTTCAAGGAAATGATACGAGCAGCTGTTTGAATAACAATAGATGAAGAATCCCCCCCCCCCCTCCTGCCGGCTATGTTTAGTAGAAACACGTCCCACCCAAAGGCCACGTCGCTTCTGTGTCACCAGAATGCCCTAAATAAACCCGCCTTACAATTACCAAGTCATATTTATGTCTAATAAGTACCAAAAAAACATTATTTCCTTCAGCTCAAGGAGATTTACTCAACTTGCAGTTTTTAATATATATATATTCAGTTTACTATTGTAAGTGTAACCACTTTAGCTCGACAAACATCTCAAACAAGTAATCAATGGAACAGTCAACGGCTAATCTTCCATTAATCGACTAATTGTTATTTTAACTAGGGTTTAAATGCCTGAACGGATTCGGGAAAATATTTTTTTTATATAAGTGGAGATTGAATATCGGTGGGTTTTGGACTGTTAGTCGGACAAAAACTTAAACAAACATCAACTTGGCCGCTGGGAATTTCTGATGGTCATTATTCACCGTTTTCACTGTTTATATTTTAGTTTCCCATTGGAATTGTCCCTACAGGTAAACAGAGAAGAGGCTTTTTCTAAAGAACAAAGGGCAGCATGTATCGTCAGGTGTTGAGCACAGAAATAAGCATTAGATTGGCTTTAATGTGTCTGATCTTCTGCAGAAAAATAAAAATCAACTTTTCTGGAAAAAAACAAAAACAGCAGAAAGAACTTATTTGGAAGCTGTCGGCGGTTTCTGTGTTTACTCTCGTGGTTACTGCAGCTCTGAAACATATTTGCACCATCACTTTATAAACTAAATGCATTAAAGCTTTAACGCATTATTATGGAGTCAGATGCTGCCTTTAAATTGCATGTGGCAGGCGTACTCCTCATTGAAGATTGATTGATTCAGACAGTGGTGGAAGAAGTAAAAGTGTACCGGTACTCTGCCCTGTGTTTATTCAGCATCAAAATATAACTTAAGGTTAAAAAAGTAAAAGTGCTCATTATGCAGAATCGCCCATTTCAGAATAATATAGATTATTGGGTAATATTATTGATCACTTGCAGACGATAAAGGTGGAGCTCATTGCAATTACTTCATATAGTCCAGCTTTATAATTCCCCCCTCTTATCTTGGGACTTTAAGGCCCATGTGGAACACCTATCAAGCAAACTGAAGGTGGATGTTTGTGGGTTCAAAGGATCTCCAAAAAAGTGACATTTTCTTATTTCACTTAAACATTTTTACAAGGTCGTGCTTGTGTATTTCGGTCACACATGTATACTTTTCTCAATCTTAAAAATGTGTCTATTATTATTAAATTAAAAATTAAAAAATGCATCACATTGTATTAGTTGATTTATATTTCGTAGTATTAATCTACAAAGTAACTAGAGTTATCAAATAAATGTACTAGAGTAGTAAAAAGTAGCAGAAAATGGAAATACTTCATTAAATATCCTACAAGTACCTCATAGTTGTGCTTGAGTAAATGTACATAGTTCCTTTCAACCACTGGATTAAAATACGAGAACGTGTGCTTACCATCAGGATGCTCTATGGATTTCAAGTACAGCTCTTTATATTTGTCGAAGCTGGGGATGTGAGCCTTCTTCTTCAAGTCCTCAGACCCGTGGAAGACGTCTTCTTTCGGCACTTTGTCGGGAATCATCTCTGAAACGTTTGTTGGACTCTTTGCCAAGTTATGAATCTGAACTGAAAGACGTTGCAGCAGAACAAGCTGACCGACTGGCTTCGTTAGATAGCGATGGTTGTATCGACTTGCTTTCAACAAATAATCGATATCAGCACTGTAGGACTGGAGAGGAGGCTGCAAGGACCCGGTTTCAGCTGCAGAAGCAAGCAGCACAATAAAGCGATGCAGCTGCAGGGCTAGCTTTGTGCTAGCTTTGCAGCAAAGTTCATTCACACTTCCTTGTTTTGCAGGATTGTTGTTGTTGCTGTTTTGTAAAAAAAAAAAAAAGTACGTTAAAAAGCCGCGTTTGGACCCAACGCGAGCAGCTTCGGTTGTAAAGTAAAGTCCGGGTGTGTTTCGGTGCAGCTCCGGGTGGATATGTCCGCTCCTGATGGTGTTAAATCCTGCACGCACGGGCGAGTGGGTTTCTTGCTAACTGCTAAGCTAACAGGCTAAGCTAACTCACGCCAATAGAAGAGAAAGACGAGCTGAGACGATGCGCATCTGTTTTAGCTGTAAAGACTTAATGTTTTTTTTAAATTCTTTAATTATATTGAATTGAAAGCTTGCTTTCAGTCAGCAAAGTATGTTTCACGCTGTTCGGGAGGCTGGCGGTGAACTGTTTTTGTCCCAGCGGTGACAGCCTGCTCCTGCTGCTGCTGCTGCTGCTTCTTCTTCTTCTTTTGACAAGGAGAACGCTGAACTCTGTTTGGCTCGTTTTGTCTGACCAGCAGCCAATCAGAGCTCACGGCGCCTTCACGTATTCCTTGAAAGCTCCGACACGACTAATTAAATACAGCGGTAAATGATACCCCTCGCTGCGTTCAAGTGGGTACGGGTATTGTGAAAGGTTAAATGTAAAACAATAAATAGATAAATAAATATAATTAATAAATGGGGTTTTCTAGTGGCGGAAGTTTTAATATTTTCAACAATGTGTGCAGCAAATATATTTCAATTACTAGATTTTTTATTTCATTATTATTATTACTAATATCGTTATTATTATAGTTGTTTCTGTTATAAATGTGGAGATTTCCTCCCTACTTTTGCAGTAATGTTACTTAATTATAGTGTGTGTGTGTGTGTGTGTGTGTGTGTATTGCAGTAAGATGCAGTAACACACTATATATATGTATATATATATATATATATATATATATATAAACAAAATCTACCAAATAATGGCAAATGAATAAAGACAGTACTTTCACATGCAGCTGTTGCCTGGTATATTTAAATTGCTTATTTATTGAGTGTGTTATGTACACAAAGAGCATGATGTTATATTGTTTCATTTTTGAAGAGCTGGACCTAACCATCTATGCTGCTGTTTGTTCAGTTAAAAATAAATACACACATTTTAAATACATTTAATCTACGTCTTAAGAAAACTGACAGTTGTTCTGACAGACTCAGCTCTGCCTTGTCAAACACTGCCCTCCATGGGCCAGATCGTGTGCACTCGATGGATTTGAGTTTTAACCAGTACAGTTTATCTGACAAACAGCAGGTGGCGACCATGTTCAACTTCTGCTGCTGTTGACTGCCGATCTCTGAGGGTTTGACCACAGCTTCAGCATCTCTTTTGAATACTCCTACTGCGTGGAATGTAGCTCAGTATACTTACAGTAATGTACTTTATTCATTTGAAGGTTCCTGTACAAATTTACTTGTATTCCCCCATATATGCTATGTGAAAAATGTGGTATTGGTACTTTTACTTCAGTAAAAGATCCGAGTACTTCTTCTAAGCTGTGACACAATGAAAGCCCCCTCTGGCCTGTTCTGATGTCACAGCTCTGGAGCGCTGAGGGTCGGAGGTCAACCTCAGGCCTGGACTGAAGGCTCGCGTGCGATTTACAAAGACTGCTTTGTTTTCCTCATGCGATCATGTTTCCACTCTATTGCTGCATGTTTAGAAGGGACAGTGAAGAAACTATAAAGACGGGGATAACCATCAACCAAACAGTAAATAATACAACATAGCATGAACATTTAAGTACTTTCGACTGCACTTTTCTGATACATACTTCAGGTTAAGTAAGGTTTTGAATGCAGGACTTGTACTTGTATTTTCAGTGTGGTATTAGCACTTTAACCAAAGGATCAGAATACTTCTATAATCACTGCATGGCTGTGTACTCTTAAGTCATTAAATATTGATTGGATATCTACTGGTAACTTGAAACCTCATCTGTTTGAACAATAAGTTGATGACACACTGCTGATCTCTACAAAAAAACAAAGAACAGTCCAGTGTTGACGTGGAAATAATGTTTTTATTGTCTGTACCAAACTTGATTGAAGAAAACCGGGTTTTCCGGAGTATAACAAACACATTAAAGTCCAGCAGAAACAGGAAACAGAGGCGAGAGACTCACAGTGTACACACTTAGCACTAACTGTTGATGGGGAAAAGGTTAGAGGTCACACAAGCGCCACTGTTATCTTTAAAAGTCATTATTTCACTTTGCTCAGCCTTTTTCGTAAAACAAAAACACACCGTATGAAGCTTTACTACTTAAGGAAACATGTTGATTTAAACCAGTCATGAGTACTTGATAGATAATAGTTATGAATCCCCAGAGAGGCCAAAACCTGCTGAGCATGAACTCTTTGAGGCGTGAGTGACTGAAAACGTCCAAAGAAACTTTGATATCAAACACCCCACCAAATCCTCAGTAACACTCAATACAACACATGTTACTACCATCATTAAACCAGACAGGACAACCAGACAATTGACAAAAACCAAGACCTCATTATGTTACAAATCACACCTGACAGGTGACTGAAGTGATGACAGTTGTATTAAACACAGACTGTTAGAGGGAGGAGGATACATTGGCACTGGGTTCAGAACAGAGGCCACTAACGTTGCATAACAAAAAGCACTTCTTCGCTAAGGCTCGACAACACACACTTGTCAGAACTGCTCGAAGCTCCAGAAAGCTGCTGTTCTGTTGACAGGTTAAAGTTTTCCTGCATTGAGAGGGCTCAAAGTATGCAGAGAGGGGGAAATGTTCATGTCCTGCAGTGCGTTTTGTCCTCAGTGTGCTACAATTTGTCTTGGCATTAAGTTACCTAACAAACATGAACGGTTTTACTATCAGGATACCTTTAAAAAAAAACAAAAAAAAAAAACAGTTAAGGAGTTTAAGCGCTTACATCTGAATCCTGAAAATTAGATGAAACACTCGATTAGTTGAGAAAATCAGCAGATTAATTGACGATGACAATGTTCATTAGTTGCAGGAAACTCATTAAATGAACTAATAATCACAATTGTAGCTTTTAAGTTGAAGTAACTTGTCTTTTCACAAGCTTTAATGAGGGCAAAAGATCCTGATGGCAAGAAGCATTTTGGGAAACCCTGCACACTGTCCTCAGCAGCAATGTGTGTCGTCTCATTTCTGTACTTCAGCACATTGGATTTGACATTTAAGATTTGCCGTTTCAGCTTAAATGTATTGTGGGGTTACTTCCACGTTCAGATGAACAGCAGAGGAAAGGGAGGTTGTTTTATTCACAGAACCCCAGTTTTAGGTGACCAAAATGTGTCATAATACAATCACATTGAATATTTGGGAAAATTCAGTCTTAGACGCTGAAGTCCCTCAGGCATCAACAGACACATTGCTGTGTATCAGGCCTTCAGCCAGATTCACTTCCAGCTTATTTAGAGTTTTTTTTGCCTTCAGAAGTTGAAGCATATGGCTGATGAGATAACCAATGTGGAGAAAACTTCGTCCGTCTGATCATTGCCCTCCTGCATTCTCAAAACACTGGGTGGCTGTGAGTAAAACAGGCTACTTGTCCTTCAGTGTTCACCCAAAATGAATGTGAAACCTCTGAAATTAAAGCTGAAACTCACGTAGACCTTTAACCGAAAGTTCATTGCTGGTTTGAACCCCTTTGAGCTGCAGGTGCCGAGACAAAAAAAAAAAAAAAAAAAAGTTACTGCACATCACCATAATTTAAGGCTCAGAAACAAGATTATTCTTCAAACAATTCTTTGGACTGCCAAGGAAAAGCATACATTCTGAAAAAAAAGTAAGATTTGAAAATAATTTGTAAAAGGTCAAAGTATTGATTTGTATTTTTAGATGTGGTCTTACTGAAGGAAATTACCAGAAAACAGAAAAAAAACTTCAGGCACCCTCTGATTGTGTGAAACATTCAACCCTGGCACCGTTTTGAATCATGTCGCTGAAACACTTAAACACTAAATAACTGCACGTCTGAGTCGCTGATGGAGAGAAGCTCCATCACCTGATATGTTTGTCCAAAGAAGAATATGCTGAACTCCACCCTGATCGATCTTTGATTTCATATACATCACTGGGGTGACACATTTGAACTTTTCACCTCAACTTGTGGCAAGAAAAACAAATAATTCAACAGAAATCCTTGAATTAAATGTAACTGAAACACCAGGAATATATCTTTTTTGTTTGCTTCGTGGGCATTAGATGGAAGACAAGCAGTCTGCTGCACCCCGACACATCTCAGCTATTGTCCAAAATACCTCCAATGTTGTTTATTTTTAGAACACATTAAAATAGGACTAACATTACAAACATTTGCCCAAAACAGCAGACTTACATTAATGTAAAATAACAAAAAACTGAAAAATGTTTTCTTATGAAAAGAAAAATGCTAGGAATAAGGCCATTGATAAAGTTATGTATTCCAATAACACCTGTGCTGTTAACAGTTCGTGTGGAATCAACATAACTGTGTTGTTTCAAGTTGGGTACAAATATACAGTGGGAAAAAAAAAAAAAACTGGTCTTAAATCAGATCCACAATGTACAATATTAATATTGGTCATTCGGGGAGTGGAAATGGGACAGAAAGAGAAAGATACCGGTCTGGTTTTCCCAGAAAGGATTATGCTTTCAATGCTGCAACTCACTGATCGCACATTTTCTTAAACCACTTTGGAAAAAACTAAATCCAACATGAGTAGTTAAGAGCAGATCTATCACTGCACCAGACAGAGCCGGTAAGAAGCACATGAGCCACTTTCATGGCCGGCTACATGTAGTGAACACACTGATCAGCCACAGTTAGAGCTCAGTGTTTGTGATGTGGCTGCTCTGGACCACAAATGATTCTTATTGGCTGGAGCCTGAGTAAGGACCACTGGTATAAAAACAAAACAAAAAAAAAAAAATAAAAAAACAGTGCATGGACTTACAAAACAGACTCTCCGAAAAGTTGAAACATTCAAAACAATCATTGTTAATTTTTTTGTTGTCGTACTTTTTTACTAAATATTGGCATGTTGATCAAAAGGCTGCCATCTCACATCCACACGAAGAGAAAGCCACTTTCCTGGAGTTCAGAATTGCACATTTAAGGAGCCTGAAACGTGAACAGCGAGGTCGAGTGGAAGCAAAAAAAGACTTATCTGCTACAAAAAACAGCAACGCTTCTCTATATCCGATACAAGTCGGATCTCTCCAACAGAGCAACGGTTTAGTGAGCGTGGGGAAAAAAAACTAAATAGAAAACAAATGGATAAAGTTGAGATCATAACTGACAGGTTCCCAAAAACCTTTTCAAAACAAACAGAAAACAAGACCAACAAAAAAAAAAAAAAAGGAGAATGGAGTGAGGGGGAGAAATGTGATGAAACAGTAGCATACATTTACAAAAGCTCTTCTGAAGCCCAACGCGACAAAATCCGGATGCATCCTTTGTGGAAAAGAAGGCCAAGAGGAGACCCGACTGCTGCCTTGTCCCACACTAAACCCTGAGCCCTTCAGAGGAGACATGTGCCGCCCACAAGATGCTTTGTCCTCTTTTCATTTAGCTTAGAACCGTACCGCCTCAATCAAACTGCCAAATGATGTTTCAGGAAGCCTGCTGGCTCGATGAAGTCTCATTTTTTTTTTTTTTTTTTCACCATTTCAAAGCACAAAACTCTGTTAGCATGACTAAAATTGGGACCAGCTAGTAAAAATACACCTCAGATCCGGTTCATAATTATGCAAAACTTAATGTTTTAGATGGAACTTTTTTTCAAGCATCTTCCTCCAAATGAATGAATTGCAGTGTCAACAGGAGAGGCACAAATGGCTGCAGTGCCATCAAACAACAAATAAAACAATCTGGGTTAGTTTGGGACAAAGTGATTGGTGTTCCGACAGCCGGGTCCTTCAGAGGAGGTTCTTTCAAATTGATATTTAAACACATACAACCACACACACATATACACACACACACACTCTCACACACACACACACACAGAACATCACCGTGTTTTTCACACTCAAGTCTATTACAAAAACCAGATATGTACGGCACAATCTGGTTTTGGGAAGGATGGGATTACAGGTGAGGGGTGGGGGCCTGAAACTCTCGCAGACTGACGGGTTCGAGGAAGAAGAGGCCGTGACCGAGGCATTGTTGATTATTGGTAAAGGATGTTTCCGGGGAAAAAGGAGCCGAGCTGTACGGCAGCTGAAGGCTAGAAGAAGAAGTCCGGCAGGTTCAGGGGATGTTAGGTGTTTGGGGTGGGGCACAAGTCGAGATCAGGTTTGGTATTGGATATAAAACCAAACTGGCTGTCTTGGCTTGAAGAAGATCTTGAGGTGGGTTTGTTTACCACAGCATCTAATTGAAAAGTTGCTTGCAGTTTTGATTAAAACTCCTCCTGCTCTTCAGCATCCGGTATCACAAAACCATCCTAGAGAGAGAGAGAAATTGAATGCAACGTTAGGTCAAGCTGAACGTGGAATAACTTCCTTGTTCTGTTCAGGATGTTGTTGAAGACGACACATTTTACAGTGTTTTGGCTGACTTTAATATTCCTCCGTATCTATTCGAGTCCCAGTATAGAGCCGAAGAAATGCAGCAGAGAGAGGCCACGGCTGCGTTAGCTATGCGAGAGGCTATGGTGGGGTCACTTGGGGCATCAGGAACTTTGTCTCAAGGCATTCCGCTACATTTAGGCACTTCCACAATGGCTGAGCGAGCATGTGCTTCAACAGACTACATCTACCATCAACAATGATTGAACATCCACATAAAACGTGGCAAATTTGCCCATTTAATGCACATTGTTGCAAATCTTGGGTTATTATTTTGGCATATTTTTCCTCCTGTGATTTGCACATTAAGTCAATATTTCACCTCCTTCCATCATCTTCTGTTAAAACACAGTATAGGTACGTTTTATGTACTTCTAAATGTCAATTTCTATTTTATATTCATGTTTCTTCATTTTGGCAGGAATAGTTTTTTCTTCTCCTACAACGTATATTGTGACCCCCATGCATCAGAACACCAAGGCATGGTCCTTGTATGTGGAACAAAAAGTTAAACAATTTGAATAGAAATATAACAAAAAAAGCAATGAAAGTCAAAATTACAAAGGAAGTAAGATACATAGAGTACACACACAACCATAAGTGCAGAACTGAGGTGACATAATGGAGTGGTAAATAGTCAGTCGAGTACCACTGAAAACATTCAGCCCCAGTGAGCGAGCTGCATGCCATTCCTCTGCAGGAATTTACAGCGACAGCAGCAGTTGTTAACAGCAGAGCAAATGGGCTTTAATCTGGAGTTGAACTCCCATGTATTGAATATATTTGGTTTATATTTGAGGATAGAAGAATTGAATAATACGTCAACAAATCACAGGAAATTACCAAAACCCACAACGTCTTAGTCCGTCCCTCAACACTGTCTAACTTCCAGCTCCAAGCCCACTGAAGACGTTATTATTTACAAAACACTTAATCCACATTTGGTGCTCCAGTGATTAGGACGGTGAATGTGGGATTGAGTCAAAATAAACTACAGTGCGTGTGTGATCAGTGATCACTGATGTGTTTTAAATTAATTTCTATGGAACAGAGAACCAAGATCCATCAGGCTGCGACACACACACACACACACACACACACACACACACACACACACACACA